GTTATTTTATGGACCGAATCAGTTCGCGAAATGTTCAAATTTTTCTTAGCGAAAACTTCAAGTCAGGAAACTCTGAAAAATTTCATATCGTTTATTGGATCGAATATTTTGCCAAAAAACTATTTTATATGCTATTCAAGCAAGGAAACATTTTAAAAACTTCAGATTGTTGCGTGGATTCAATCTGTTGGCAACAAATATTAGTATTTTTAGGCAAGCTAGTTAAGTTATGAAACTTCAAACTATTTCAAGGTATTTTATGAAGTTGAGAGAGAAAAAAGAGGTAGCAAAAAAGATAGCAAGCTTGCAGTCTTTTCAGCAGGCTATTAAAGCTATTTATTTCAGAACTTTTGCAAAATATTTGGTTGTTCGAATTGGTTCCCAAAAAAACTTAAAGCTATTAAATTTGGAGTTACAGGTTGTTTCATAGACCGAAATGTTCTGCGAAAAATTTAAGTTTGTCTAAGCGAGCTTTTGAAGCTCTGAAAGCGTTTAAAATTAAAGTTCTTTTTGCAAAAAGCTTGTTTACAAAATGTTTGCGAAAGCTTTGCTTTAAAAATTTAAGCTTTTCGCAAAACGATTTGATCTATGAGATGACTTGAAGTATTTCAACGTTTTTCTGAGCACACGATTCATGCGATGAAACTTTTGAAATCTTTCAAGTTATATCAAGGGGCAAATCGGTTTCCGAAAAGCTTAAGTTTTTCTAAGCAAGCTATTGAGGCTTTGAAATTTTGAATTATCTCAAATTTTCACACTGAAAATTGATTGGCGAAAAGCTTATTTTTTTCCCAGCAAGGTAGGCAAGCGACAAAATTTCGAAAATTTTCAAAACAATTCACAGTGCAAATCGGTTTGCAAACAGCTACTGTTGCTAGCAAGGAGTTTGCTGTTTTTAGTGGGAAATCAATTTTAGAACGCAAATTTCGGAAAAAAAGACAGGCACTGTCTAGCCGTGAAATGAATATCTTGTCTACAGAATTGAATTTTTGTCAAAAACGATTCTAGAATATTCCAGACTTAAGAAAATTTGAAATCTCTGGAACGTTCTTGGTGTTCTCCTAAACATTAAGCCTTAAGAATTTTTTAAACGTTGCATTCGAAAAAGCTAAACATTGCGTTCAGTTAAACACTGCGTCCAGAGCGCATTCGGAGTTACATTTAGAATAAAAGATTGATCCGACTTTCGAAGAAAACGGAATATTTATGCTCGGTGTGGTTTTTTTTATTCAGCGAGTTTTCACCGATTGAAATAATAATTTTCAACAGAACATTCTTATACCCCATTGAAGATATCGCCGTGGTGAGTTCAAATGTAAAAGGATGTTTTGCTTCCGATTATTTTTTTTCCAAAGTTCTGGGTGTTGAAGATTGCCAAATTTGCCATGTTCTGGACTAAATTATGCGCGCTTTGAAGAGTTTATTCATAACGCTGAGAGCGTAACGCAAATTATTTATGTGAGGCGAATTATCCCGCGCAAAAAATTCCTTGCGACTCAATTGCGTATGACTCAAAATTTTACACTTTGATATTATCCAAAAGATTTTGAAAGATTGAGTAATTTTGTCTAAATTAGTGTAATTTTAGCTTTTAAAACCCATCTGAAAATAGCCGTTAGAATTGACAATGGGCATCAGAAAATCAAAACGTCATTGTCAGATATAATATTGTTTGAAAAAAAGTATGAAAAGAAATAGAGCTATTGTATGTGTAAATTAACTCCCTGCATTTGCACACAACCAAAAATGCAATGGCAAAGTTCTGACAAGTAAAGCAAGGAGAATCGATTTCGTATTTCGCTTACAGGTGGCTTTTCTGACCGATGCTTTTTTTGTTAAAATTTAGAATTTGCCGCTGTGTTTAGCAAAGAAACGCAACTAGTCTATTTTGCAAACTTTAGGTTAGAACAGTGATGAGATTTACACGTGTTCAGACTCAATTCTTTTAACACTCAGCTCTTTTGGACTACGTTTTTTTAAACTATTTTCAATATCTTTCACCAATTTTTAAAACATTAATTAAACTCGCGCACTTTTTCTGGTACTACTAAAACAAAGCCATTTGCAACTATGGCGTTCTGAACCCAACTTCAGCGAGACTGACAACCAGAAGCACAAGCATTGTGACCAATAAAAATGATAAAGAAACAAGGCAGCTGCAAGCGTAATGACATTTCGCCCCTAATAGTTGAAATCATGGTTTTCTCTCTCTCTCTCTATCTATCTATCTAAAAACATTGACATAAAAAACCAGACGCACAAATCTATTTATTTATAAAAAATGACAAATAAACAAGGCAGCAGCAAGCGTAGTGATATTTCGCTCCTACTAGTTGAAATCTTGGAAGTGCATTTTCTCTCTCTCTCTCTCTCTCTCCTCTATCTCTCTATCTCTCTATCTCTCTCTCTCTCTCTCTCTCTCTCTCTCTCTCTCTCTCTCCTCTCTCCCTCTTCTCTCTCTCTCTCTCTCTCTCTCTCCTCTCTCCCTCTTCTCTCTCTCTCTCTATCTATCTATCTATCTATCTATCTATCTATCGATCTATCGATCTCTCTCTCTCTCTCTCTCTCTCTCTCTCTCTCTCTCTCTATCTATCTATCTATCTATCTATCTATCTATCTATCTATCCGTCTATCTATCTATCTATCTATCTATCTATTTATCTATCTATCTATCTATCTATCTATCTATCTATCTATCTATCTATCGATCTATCTATCTATCTATCTATCTATCTTTCTCTCTCTCTCTCTCTCTCCTCTCTCCCTCTTCTCTCTTCTCTCTCTCTCTCTCTCTCTCTCTCTCGCTCTCTCTTTCTCTTTCTCTCTCTCTCTCTCTCTCTCTCTTTCTCTCTCTCTCTCTCTCTCTCTCCTCTCTCCCTCTTCTATCTCTCTCTCTCTCA